AGTTTCTCCTCAGGGCTGGCTGGGAGGATGCCACTGCATTCTTCTGCCTTGGCCACGGGGTGTTTGAGGAAAGCTCTCCTGATGACATCGATGTCCCGGCCCAGGTGGTCCATCATGGGGGACACCAGGGAAGGGGGGGCCTCGAGGTCTATCAGAAAATACCTGCAATGAGAAACACACCAAAATCAGCCAAAATACCTGGGCAGGAACAAAATCAACAAAAATTCCTGGGCAAGGAAAAAAAAAAATCTAAAATGCCTTGGCAGAAATAAATTCAACCAAAATACTTGTGCAGGAACAAAATCAAGCAAAAAAATACCTGGGCTGGATAAATCAAACAAAATACCTAGGCAGGAAAATCCAAAATACCTGGGCAGGAATAAAATCAACCAAATACCTGGGCTGGACAAAATCAACTGAAAAATAACTGGGCAGGAATAAAATCAACCAAAATACCTGGGCTGGACAAAACCAACCAAAATATCTGGGCAAAAATAAAATCAACCCAAAAAATACCTGGGCAAGACCAAATCAACCAAAATATCTGGGCAAGAACAAAATCAATCAAAAAGTACCTGGGCAGGAGTAAAACCAACCAAAAAAATACCTGGGCAGGGACAAAATCATCCAAAATACCTGGGCAGGAACAAAATCAACCAAAAATATACCTGGGCTGGACAAAATCAACCAAAAAAATACCTGGGCAGGAATAAAATCAACTAAAATATCTGGGCAAGACCAAAATCAGCCAAAAAGTACCTGGGCAGGAACAAAATCAACCAAAAAAATACCTGGGCAGGAATAAAATCAACCAAAATATCTGGGCAAGACCAAAATCAGCCAAAAAGTACCTGGGCAGGAACAAAATCAACCAAAAAATAACTGGGCAGGAACAAAATCCGAAATACCTGGGCTGCAATTAAAGGAACTCTTCTGGTGGATTTTTAAAATGAGTTCCTAAGTTTTTTTCTGCTCCTTTGGTTTTTTTTTTTTTTTTGTAAATGAGAGGTCCTGAGTTTTTTGTGCTCCTGTGGTGTTTTTGATAAAATGAGAATTCCCAAGTTTTTTTCTCACATTTTGGTGCCCAGACTGTTTGAAATAAAAGCCCAGTATTAGTTTGATTTCAGTGATGGAAAGTTCAGCTGAATTCTGTTGGAATCGTGGAATATCCTGAGCTGGAAGATGCCCCACAGGATCATCCAGGCCCTGCCCAGACCCCCAACAATTCTACAATTCCAGTTTTTTCCCTGGGAATGTTGTCCCAACACTCCCAGAGCTCTGTCCAGCACTGCTGACCCAAGGAGATTTATAGGGACTTTTGAAGGAGTTTTGAAGAAGTTAGAGATGGGATTTTGGAATTGTTGTTGGTGATGTGAGTTATTTTTTTATGTTCTATACAGACAGGAAAGGTGAGTTCAGCTCACTATATATGAAGTATAGTTCAGAAGGCTGTAAGACTTGTAGTTATGAGATTTTTAAAGGCTTTATTAATTAATAAAATATTGCTAACAAGGATATTTGTGTTTTTGACTTCATCTTTAAATATTTTTTCATATGGACTTACTTTACAGTGTAAGATTTCTTAGCTAATCATGTTATGATTAGTAACTTACAGAAACTTATTAGAAACTTATAGTACTGTATTCTAATGTCTCTGTTTATTTTTGTAGCTTTTAAAAAATATTTTAAACTCCAAAACTCTAAAATTTGTTTTTGTTAGTTTAATGTGTTTCTGTTTTAAACTATAAATTTACAATCTCACTTTCAGCTTAAGTTTGGAAGGTTTTTCTAAGGCCTTAGATCAAATCTTATGTTTAATTCTAAGCTTTGGCTTACAGTTTTGATAATTGTTTGTATTTCAGATCCTTACAGCTGTTGAGGACTTTGCTTTTCCCTCTTCCATTCATCCCCACATCCTGACCTGGACAGTTTTTAAGACAAGGCAGGATGGCAGGAGCAGCTCCTTCCTGGAATTCCTGATGGGTTTTTGGGGAGCAGATCCCAGTGGGAGCCACCTCAAGCTCATCCACACACACAGAGATCCCTTCCTGCAAAGTTCTGCCTGGGGCTGAATGGGAATGTGAAAAAGAAATATTAAAAAAATGCAAAGAGGTGGATTTATCCCAAATCACAGCTGAGATGTGAACGTGGCTTAAATCCTCACTCTGCTGGAGGAGCTGAGCATCCAGCAGGGCTGACCTTGGTGGGACTCATGGAATATCCTGAGTGGGAATTGAACCATGGAAAATCCTGAGTGGGAATTGAACCATGGAATATCCTGAGTGGGAATTGAACCATGGAAAATCCTGAGTGGGAACTGAAGCATGGAATATCCTGAGTGGGAATTGAACCATGGGATACCCTGAGTGGGAATTGAGCTATGGAATATCCTGAGTGGGAATAAACCCCCAGGGACCCCCCAGTTCCAGCCCTACCCTGCCCAGACCCCCCAAAATCCCACCCTGGGCATCCCTGGCAGCGCTGGCCAAAGGCTCCTGCAGCTCTGGCAGCCTCGGGGCCGTGCCCATTCCCTGGGCAGTGCCAGCACCTCTGGGGAAGAGCCTTTCCCTAAAANATGGAAAATCCTGAGTGGGAATTGAACCATGGAAAATCCTGAGTGGGAATTCAGCTATGGAATATCCTGAGTGGGAACTGAACCATGGAATATCCTGAGTGGGAATTGAGCTATGGAATATCCTGAGTGGGAACTGAACCATGGAATATCTGAGTGGGAATTGAACCATGGAATATCCTGAGTGGGAACTGAACCATGGAATATCCTGAGTGGGAACTGAACCATGGAATATCTGAGTGGGAACTGAACCATGGAATATCCTGAGTGGGAACTGAACCATGGAATATCCTGAGTGGGAATTGAACCATGGGATACCCTGAGTGGGAATAAACCCCCAGGGACCCCCCAGTTCCAGCCCTGCCCTGCCCAGACCCCCCAAAATCCCACCCTGGGCATCCCTGGCAGCGCTGCCCAAAGGCTCCTGCAGCTCTGGCAGCCTCGGGGCCGTGCCCATTCCCTGGGCAGTGCCAGCACCTCTGGGGAAGAGCCTTTCCCTAAAATCCACCCTAAATCCCTCCTGCACAGCCCCAGCTGCTCCCTGGTGCTGTCCCTGTGCCAGGTCTCAGATCCCCAGGGAACCCTTTGGTGTCCCCCCAGCTCTCCTGACATCCATGAGGGAACAGCCACCACCACCCTGCGAGGAGCAGGACGTGGCTCCCTGCTGATCTCTCAATCACCAAAATTATTTCTGCAATAAATCCCTTTCCTGAAGATCTGCAGCTTCTTCAGGAGCTCAGCTGGAGTTTTCCAGGAGGTTTTTCCAGCTCCAGCACACCGGAGGGAGCAAAGGGGTATCCTGCACCTCCCTGCCCTGTTCCAGGGGATACAACAGACCCTGTGCATCACTTCCTTCCCAAAATCCCATCCAGTCCTGCCCTCTGGCAGTGGGAAGCTATTCCCTGGGTCCTGTCCCTCCAGCCCTTGGCAATTGTCTCTCCAAACCAGAGAAAGGGATGACAAAGTTCTGGTTCCAGCTTTCGTGGCAGTGCTGGTTCATTCACAACAGTTCACAGGAGAAGGGCTGGATGAGCTTTTGGGAATTGGGAATTGTTCCCTGGCAGGGTGGGCAGGGCTGGGATGGAATTCCCAGAGCAGCTGGGGCTGCCCCTGGATCCCTGGCAGTGCCCAGGGCCAGGCTGGACACTGGGGCTGGAGCACCTGGGACAGTGGGAGGTGTCCCTGGCAACCCAAACCATTCCTTGGATGGGTTTTGAGGTCCCTTCCAACCCAAACCATTCCAGAATCCCACATTTCTCCAAGCCCACCTCCCCACGGAGCACCACAGAACCCAAAAGTGACATCCTTTAAATGAAGACACATTGTCCAACCAGGACCAGACACCCCAATTTCATCTCAAAACTGCCCCTGACAGAGAGGACTTTGCTCTGCAGGAATTTTGGATTCCTCCTTAGTCAACTACAGCAGGAGCATCCCATGTTCACAAAGGAAATCCTGGAAAGTCCCAAGGTCGGAAGGGAACTGGGAATCTGAAGGGGAAATAGAGAACAAGCCCTGCTTGTGCCCTTCAGGCTGCACTGGGTTTGGTTTTTGCATCACATCCCAAATCTTGCACCCCAAGAGCCCCATGGGGCCAGGAATGACTCAGGCAGCACTGCTGGATTGCAGAATCCACGCCTGGAAAACATGGGAACAACACTTTTCCTCAGCCAGCACCCTGATGTCACAGCAGCATCCACGTCACAGCCTCAACTCATCCCCAAATCCTTTCCAGAAAGTCCAGAATTCCTTACGGGAGGGGTGGCATGGTAAAAATGCCACCTGACACCCCCAATGCCGAGGCAGGAGAGGTGCCCAGCTGGAATGGGCTGTGTCCCAGTGCCAGCCCATGCCAGCCCAGCATTCCAGGGAGCCCGGCCTGCAGGAATGTCCCAGGGATTTGGAGGAATTCTGCTGGGCTCGCTCCTCCTCACAAATCCCCACAGCAACAAAATCTGGCTTTTGGGCTGCCCACTGCCCCGTGGCTCCACAATGCAGAGATGCCACCAGGGTTGGAGTTTAGGGACAGGAACCATTTTCCAGCCAATTTGATGGAAGTGCAGCCCAGCAGGATCGAAGGATGCACCCCCAGCACCAAAATCTGGGATTGTGGGGTTCTCTGGTAAAGCCATTAGAGCCCACTGGTGAATTCAGCAGATGACACTTGAACTCTCCTCCCTGGGAAGCAGCCTTCCAAATCCTCTCACCTAGCAGCAGGGAGGATGGGGGAGCAATTCCAGCTGATCCCACTCTGCAGCCAGAATTTAATTCCATTTCTGCCCAGCTCTCATCTTCATTGTGCTCCTAAAATGGCAAGAGGGTTGGGTTTTTTTTGGGTTTGTTTTGGGTTTTGTATTTTTTTATTTTTATTTTTATTTTCCCCTCCTTCCCTCCAAAGGCTGCTTTGCAACTTTTGCTTTCTCTGCCATTAGCAAAGGGTGGAAATTTCCACTGACGCACTGTTGATAAGCCAAGGAGAAGGGGGGGGAAGGGAGGATGAGCTGTTCCAGCAGATCTTTCTGACTCCTCTCAGGAAAAGGTATTTTATCAAAATTGCAGGCACTGGGAAAAACGTGGGGTTTCAAAAACAACCACCTCTCTCCAGCGTGAGCAAGGTTGCTTCTCTCTGCCACAACAAAACAAAAAAAAACCAACAAAAAAGAGAGAGAAGGGAGAAAGAAGCACCATGAAAAAAAAATAATTTTGATTTCTTCAGGAAAGAAAGAAGGGCTGGAAAAACAATGAGCAGCACAATGGACAATGACATCCCTGAGGAGATGTGAACCCCTTCCCCTCAAATGTCCACACTAAAATCAGCTGCCAGGGGGTTTTTAAACCCTCAAACCTTCACTGCAGGCAGTGATCTGTGACCCCACAACGCTGCTGTTTGTGGAGTAAACAACCCCAAATCCCAGAGAGACAAAGCCAGGGAAAAATACAGGAATGCAGCAGGGAAACCACCTCGTTCTTGCAGACAGAAATGCAAAAAGCATTTGTGCTCTCTAGGAGTCACCAGGGGAGAAATGCAGGAAAATTCCACTGATTCACCATGAGCCCACAGTTATTTTTGTCCTCCTGCTTGACTGCAAACACAAGGATGATTTAAATGCAGGGGAGCAGACTGGAACACGTTAAAACAATGCATTAACTCCAAAAGAAATTAAAATATAAGATGGTCTCAAATAAAAGAGGACGTGCCTTTGTATATGAGGAAAATAAAAATTTTTTTTTAAAAAAAGAGGACAAAACAAAGAGCCAGGTTTCATTTCTGGAATTTACCATATTCAAGCAGAAATTGTTTGAAGCTTGAGTCCTAAGGATGCTCAGATCTGTTGCTTTCAGATGGCCAGGGTAGGATTTCAAGGATGCTGGATGAAAATTCCCTTTGAAGCCCTCCAGGAATAGAGCTCTGAGCCAAGGGGAACAGTGAAGGTATGGTGGCCTTGGAAGAGGCTGTGGGGTCCCAAGGTTTTGGCCCCAAAATGTCTCCCTTGTGTGAAGGTGGAAGATCCAAGGGAAAGAAAATGTTCTGAGGAACAGCAGAGGTGAAAAGGAGCAGAAAACACCTGGAGGAAACCACAGCAGGAGCAGGAGGAGTTCCACGTTGGCCTCATTAAGGTAATTACACAAAAATAATTTTATTTTTTTAATTTTTCTTTTTTTGCTACCTGAATGTTCATTTTTAGGACCATGGAAATGGGGGAATTTGCTTTGCCCCTCCTCAGCAGGGCAAGCTCACGATCAGGACTGTCAGAAGGACCAGGACAAGTGTTGCCTTTAGCTTTTAAAAGTATGGCAGTGGAAGCTCCTTGAAAATCTGGGAAGGACCAGATGAAAACCAAAAATTGGATTTTCATCACCAAACTGTGCCACAGCAATGATGGGAATGATCCACAGAGAGTTTGGGGAGGGATGCATCCACAGCCCCAGGAATGGCATTTCCCAAATTCCATCCACAGGCACCTGTTGTTCAGCTAATTGAACCATGGAAAGATGTTTCATTAATTTAAAGATAATTAAGGGAAAAAAAAATTAAAGTCAACCCTCCCCAAATGGTGGCTGGTTTCCACCCCACCAAGTCCAGTGGCCACCACACTCAGTTAAGGAGCTTGCACAAGGATTTGGTGGATTCTGGTGCCTCCACATCACCAGCTTTGCTCCAGGCCTCTAAAAAGCACCAAAATTCCAAAGGGCACCTCCACAGGTAAGGTGGAAAGGGAAAAACATCCCAAACATTCCAGGGCTTTGAGCCTTGAGGCACATCCAGGCTTCCGTGGGGAAAAGGATGAAGACTCAGTGGTGGTTGGACTCATCAATGAAGAAAGCCCCATCTAGTGGAAGAAGACAATCAGCTGAGCAGAAAACACTTCAAATGCCCTTAAATCCACAAATATTCCAGCTGCTTTTATTCTCACCCAAGTGCACTGCAGAGCCAAGACACCTTTGTGCCCAAACAGCTCAAGATGTTCTAAAATCCAAACTGCAACAAGTTGGGTCGGGCACTCAGTTTGAATTTATTTTGGGGGGAGGTTAAGTAAGGGAAAATTGCAGCTCCTTTTATCTGTTTTTGTTTTGCTCTCTTTGGTCTTCAAGAGCCATGAAAAGCATCAAGAGGCTCGACTCGAGAGCAAGGCCAAACACGTTGGGAGAATAAAGAAAAAATATTAACTCTGCATAATTTGGGTTCGATAAAGGGTGGGGAGAGGGTTGTTCAAACCTGTGAACGCTCCAGAGAACATTTCTGGCAGGTAACCATTATTTCAGTCCTGCAAATCCAGGCAATCAAATTACAGCCAGGCGGTGGGGATGATCAGAGGGCACTTCAACCTCTCCCATCCACGTGGAAAATTTCATCCTGCCACAAGCACCGGGTTTAAAAAGGAATTGTGCAACTCCCAAAGCTCGGCTGCTTTGTGGGGAGAGGCAAAGCCTGAACATGTCAGAAAATTTACATGGAAATGTTTCCACAAGAGTAAAAAAAAAAAAAAATAAAAGGGGGTGTCCAGAGAGGTTGGGGATTCCTCATGCCTGGAAATGTCCAGGTTGGATGGGGCTTGGAGCAGCCTGGGAGAGGGGAAGGTGTTGGGGTGGAATGGGATGGTCTCCAGGATCCCTTCCAGCCCGAACATCCCATGACTCCTTGGTCACTTATTGAATTATTCCTCTCAATAACCATCCATTCCTGCTGGTTTGGGTTCTGGAAACAAGAGCCTGTCCTGGCAGCTGCTTTGGAAAAGCCATCTGGAATTTCTGCCTCCTTCTGACCCCTTGGATGCTGTTCTGCACCCCTCGATCCTCAGGGACCCTGGAATTCTCCTCCTGCAGAAAATCCCCCAAGATAAACTCCCCAAAATGCAATTCCTGAGTGAGAATTCCTGATCAACCGCCCAAAAATGCAATTTTTGGATGAGAATTCCTGATCAACTCCCAAAATACAGTTCCTGATAAACTCCCCAATATGCAATTCCTGGATAAGAATTCCTGATCAAGTCTCCAAATGGAATTCCTGGGTGATCATTCCTGATCAACTCCCCAAAATGCAATTCCTGGGTGGCAATTCCTGGGTGACAATTCCTGATAAATTCCCAAAATGCAGTTCAGCAAGAACAAAAGCAAGCCCTGGGTTTGCTATTTCAGAGAACATGGGGGCTGAGGAGACAACTGTGAGTGAGGAGCAAAACAAAAAGATGAAGAGGCAAAGCAAGCAAATAACAAAAGAAAATTGCCATCTTTTCAAAATCAAATTTGAAAGCAAGGGAAAAAAAAAAAAACAACAAGGCAATGAAAAACTGGCAAATAGAACATGGAAATTGTCATGGATAATCAGAGTTTTGCTGGAGAACTCGTAAGTCATTGAATGGGTTGGGTTGGAAGGGAATTTAAACTCATCCAGTGCCATGGCAGGGACACCTCCCACTGTCCCAGGCTGCTCCAAGCCCAGTGTCCAACCTGGCCTTGGGCAATTCCACAGAAATCAATGTGCAACTCAATCAATAAAGTGAATGAAATGATGAAAATGTTGTGAGGTGAAAACATTCCTGTGTCCCAGGCAGATGTAACAGAGGGAATCCCACACATCCCAAAACCAAGGAGGAGGAAAGTCCCTGGTGCTCCATCAGTTCCCAAACCCTGAGCAGGCTGAGCTCCATCACCTTTGCTCCAGAGTTAAGAATGGAAATGGCACTGGAGGAAGGCTAAAAATCACCAAAAACTCTTCATTCCAAGCCCCAGCATTCCAAGTTCCTCTCCCAATGCCCCATCCCAACTCCTGCAGCTTCACAAATTCCTGACCTGCAAATCCCTGGGGCCATCACCTTCCCAAAGGAATGTGTGAATCCCATTTTTTTTTTTTTCCCCAGGTTGTTTTGGAGCTGCCTTTGGATCATCCCCAAGGTGAAACTCCCCCCTCAGTGTGCTCCTATCACTTTACAACCAGTTGGAATCTGCTCCAGCTCAGGCCTGACCGGATCTGCTCTGCTGTCCTCAGCCAGCCCCAGCCTGGAGAGCTCCTGGAGCATCTCAAGCAGAGCCTGAGCTGAACATTCCTTGCATTCACAGCCTGGCACACACCTTATTTAAATCAGTTTGCTTCTGTTTGTGCCAGACAGAAACACCTCTGGGACCAAAAAAAACACCTTAAAAGAGAGTGAAATGCAGCTCATTAATAACAAGTAGTGGTGAGGGAAAGAAATACTTGGCACCAAGGTTGGGAATCTTTATTTAAATACATTTTTCCCCCAGTTTTTCGCATTCTGGGCAAGTCAGGCTCAAAGTCTCACCTAAATTTCCATACCTGAATTGTTACCATTTCAAATCGCTCACTGAAATACTTAAAAACCAAAATACTCGTGTTCCACTATGAATAAAATGAATGTGAATGTGTGGCTGATTCAGTTTAAAGATCAGTAAATCAGGGATTGAAAAGTCTTGATTCTTTAATGAATCCACACAACTCCCAAAACTCATTTTCATAATGACCTACAGGCAAAACCTGCCAATATTAGGTCTTAAAAAAAAAAAATAAAACAAAAGGAGCAGGATGCCCAAAGAGATGCATTTAAGAGAAAAACCTAAATTTTAACACCTCCTCAATGAGCAGGATCTCCTGAGAGGGAATAATCCCATTGTTTGTGGGGTTATCCCATTGTTTGGAGGATAATTCCATCGTTTGTAGGGTTTGAGGGCTTCAGGAGAGTAAAACTGCTCCAGCCAGTGACAGCTGAGAGCCAAAATCCCCCTTGGCAGGCTTGGAGAAATCTCTTTTACACAGCAATTGCCAGAAAATTCCTTTTCTCTGTGAAGCCTCCTGGATATGTTAAATTTGTAACATGCCTTTATTCACTTTATATCCCCAATACCCCAGATGATGCTGGAGCACCCCAGAGCTCAAGGAAAAAAGCCCTTTTTTAAGGGCAAACCATCCCCCCTGCTGATTTATCCATTTGTATTTTCTATTTCAACTCTTTCCCTACATCTGAAATCACCACCAAAACCTGCACAAGCTTTGCCCAGAAAATCACAGAATGGTTTGGGTTGGGAGGGAAGTTAAAGATCATTCCATGGGCAGGGAACCTTCCAGCAGCCCAGCTGAGTCCAAGCCCCATTCCATTGATTTTTATATAATTATATATAATTGATACAATTAAATTACATAAACTAATATAAATTATATATTAAAATTATAATTACTTAAATATAATTTATATAATTTTAATATAATTAAATTCATTTTCATATAATTTACCAGCCAGGAGGTCCAAGAATTGAGTGTCCATCCCAAATCTCCAACTAACTACATGCTATATGAAAATAAATCAGTTAAAGCTCTAAGAGTCAGGAAAATAAAATAAAAAAAAAATTTAAAACCTCAAACAAGCAAAAAATTAAAAGCTTTGGAAGATTCAAGATGCTCCCCCCAGACACTCATTTGAATTCTCACAGAGGCCTCTTAAATTAATTTGAAATAAACCAAGACTAAGGAAAAGTGGAATATTCTGGATTATCCAATGTCCCACTCCACACCAACCTGCTCTAAAAGGGACAGAGGAGAATTAGAAATTGGATGGGAGGGAGAAAAGATTCCAGGATTTCAGAGAAAGTCCAGGAGCTTGGGGAGGTTTTGTAAAAGTTGTTTATTTTCTATTTAACTTTGTCTATTAAAAAAAAAAAATATTATTTTTTACAGCTGCTGTAAAAACTGGCTGATTTTATAAGGTGGCACAAAAACCGATTTATTATTTCCTATTGATGGATAATGTTTGATTTCCTGAATGTTTTGGAAAATCCTGGAATTTCTGCCTCCTGACCCCTTGGATGCTTTTGTGTGCCCCTCGATCCTCAGGGACCCTGGAATTCTCCTCCTGCAGAAAATCTCCCAGGCACGTGTGGAGATAAACTCCCCAAAATGGGAATTCCTGGGTGAGAATTCCTGATTAATTCTCCAAATGGAAATTCCTGGGTGAGAATTCCTGATCAACTCCCCAAAACTCAATGGATGGCCCAGCAGGAATCCACCCTGCCTGTCCATGGAGCTGCAAATTCCACAGGAAAACCTCCAGGAATCCAATCTCTGGAATTCCCAGGTACTGACCAACAGCCTCCCCATGCTGTGTCTGGAGTTCGGGATCCCAAAGAAAGGCTCACAAAGGATTTCCTGGAGCACTAATCCCAATTCCTTCTCCTCTCAGCAATCCAGAGCATCTGGGGGGGGTTCCTGTCTGTGGGAATCCAGAGCATCCCCCTGGCTGCCCTGGGACCCTGGCAGGGCTCAGGAACCCCCCTGGACAGAGCCCCCAGAGACACTGGCTGTGATCTCTGGCCATGGAAAAGAGTTTTCAATCTTACAGGATCAACTACCAGCTCTGAGGGTTTGATATCAGTAATAATTAAGTGTGGCACAGGTGCAAAAGTAAAATTTTAGGATTCTAGATGAGGGGTCCAAAGGGACAAGCTGGAGGAAATTGGGTGTGCCTTGTCCTTTTTCTCCTTCTTCATGCCCTCCATGTCTCACTGTGGTGTTGGCATTTTTCTGTTGGTTCAGGCTGGGGACACACTGTCCAACGTAGGTGACAGATATTGGCACGTTCTTGTAAATGCAGCCCAGGGAGTTTCTGGTATTGAATGTTTGTCACATCCCACTGAGGGCAGAGCCCCACACGCTGCCCTGCAGGACAGAGCTGGGCAGGGCAGCAGAACATGTGAGAGATCAACAGAATAAACAACCTGGAAACCAGCACAGAATAATTACAACTTATTTTTTGGCTGCAGGGCTCAGAGACTTTCTACAATCTCGGAGTCATCAATAGCTCAGATTCCAACATCCTGGGAGGGCAGGAAGAGACTGAGAAATATTTGGGGACACCTGACCTGGGAGGAGGAGGAGGAGGAGCAGAGGAGGTGGCTTTGATCTGGTGGTTGAAGGCTGCAATTATTGGTTACTAAAACCTTGTTTTACTCAGCACATCAAATCCACCTGCTCTGAGGGCCCTGCACACAAGGAGGGGTTTGGGAGGATTTCTGGGAGGGTTTGGAAGTGCTGAGGGGTGAGAGCTGGATCTGTTCCATCCCAGAGACTCCTGAGCTCTGCTGGGCATTAGGAGAGGGACTGGGGTTGGGATTGGGACTGGGATTGGGATTGTGCCCCTGAGCCCACCTGCCGAGCTGTCCCAGCCCTGTCCCAGCCCTGCCCCAGCCCAGGAGGAGCTGGAGCTGCTGCAGAGAGCCCAGGGGAGGCTCCAGGATGAGCAGAGGGATGGAGCAGCTCTGCTGGCAGGAAAGGCTGGCACAGCTGGGATTGTTCACCTGCACAGGAGAAGCTTTGGGCTGAGCTCAGGGTGGCCTGGCAGGGCCTGGAGGAGCCCCAGGAAAGCTGGAGAGAGACAATTTCCAGGGATGGAGGGACAGCACACAGGGAATGGCTTCAAAGTGAGAGAAGGAAGGTTTATATTGGATATTAGGAAGGAATTGTTCCCTGTAATGGAAGTGAGGGGCTGGGATGGAATTCCCAGAGCAGCTGGGGCTGCCCCTGGATCCCTGGCAGTGCCCAAGGCCAGGTTGGACACTGGGGCTGGAGCAGCCTGGGACAGTGGGAGGTGTCCCTGCCATGGCATGGGTGGCACTGGGTGAATTTTAAGGTCCCTCCAAACCCAACCCTGACTCCACTTCAGGCACTGCCATTGTGCCCATGCCTGTTTTGCTCTCCTGCTCCATATAGGTTTTTTTTTTTCAAACCATGGCCTGACCCTGCCAGTTTTGCAATGCAGGATGAAATCCTGTTGAATGCCCATGGGAGCTGAGAAATTCTGGTCTCAGGACAGAATTAGTGATTACCTCATCCTGCTGGGAGCAGAAGCATTTCATAAACATTAAAGCCTTTTCCAAGGGCACAATACAAGGTGGTGTTCCTCTCCTTGTGCAGTGGGGAACTAAGGAAGAGGGATGAAATTCCACTGATTTTGGGTGCTGAAAGGGAGAGGTTGGATGAGAGTTCTTGGCTTGGGTGGCAGCACTTCTGCAGGTCAGGTTTTGGGTTCCTCAAGAGAAGACAGGAGCCAGCATCTCCAGAACTTTGGAGAAGAGATGAAGAGAAGCCATTTCTCCAGGGAATCTGTGCCAGGGCCTCATCACCTCCACAGGGAGGAATCCTCTCCAGTATCCCATCCAGCCCTGCCCCCTGGCAGTGGGGAGCCATTCCCCCATCTGCCACTACATGTTCTCAGAGAAATTCCCCTTTCCTCCTTTTTAAAGCATTCCTTAATGTCACCCTGCCCTTTTAAAAGTTTTAAAGTTCTGTCAGAAGTTTTCTATACCTTCTGATATTTACATATTTCTACTGGAATTCTCACACGCTGTTCATGTAAATAATGATTGTTTTGCATTCTTCTTTGTGAGAGAATTGATGGGCTGTTGGTTTGATCAGTGTGGTTGGAGAGGTGGCAGTTTCACCCTCCAATCCACTGCCACTTTTGGAATTTTATATATTGTGAAGTCAGAAATAAAACTTCCTCGTATCCTTCTTTTGCATCTTGAGTGAGTGTGTGAGTTTTTTTGTGTCGCAGTGTGGCACCTTAAGGTTCTGGAAGGGCTCTGAGTTCTCCCTGAAGTTCCTCTTGCCCAGGCTGATGAACAGGAGTGACGTGGAGATCCCCCCTTCCCCTGGCAGCCCTCACCATTCCCACTTGGCAGGAGCACCACAAGGTGCTCAGAAGAGGGAAAGAAACCAGGAGTCACCCCTAGAGAGCTGCTCCAAGGAGGAATTTGCAGCTCTGGAGCCCCCTGAGCTTCCCCAGAGCCCCTCGAGGAGGAGCGGGGCTGGCCAAGCTCTGCAGCATCGGGAGGAGATGGTTAATTGGTATTTGGAGGAGGCAGCCCCAGCAGTGGGAGTTGCTTAGCAACATCTTGGGAGAGGCAGCAGCCATTTCATGGGTGGCCTCAAGGAGCAAAAAACCACCCTGGGCAGGGGATGGAGCCTGCAGCACCTCCCTGTGCACTGTGGGGCAGCCCAGTGCTCCTTCCCACTTAGGGTGTTTCCATAAAACACAGGATTATTCCCTCTAAATACCCTTAAGTGAGGGGCTGGGAGAGCTGGGAATGTTCAACCTGGAGAGGAGAAGCTCCAGGGAGAGCTCAGAGCCCTGCCAGGGCCTGGAGGGGCTCCAGGAGAGCTGCAGAGGGACTGGGGACAAGGATGGAGGGACAGGAGCCAGGGAATGGCTCCCACTGCCAGAGGGCAGGGCTGGGTGGGAGATTGGGAATTGGGAATTGTTCCCTGGCAGGGTGGGCAGGGCTGGGATGGAATTCCCAGATTCCCCTGGATCCCTGGCAGTGCCCAAGGCCAGGTTGGACACTGGGGCTGGAGCAGCCATGGTGGAGGGTTGGAATTG